GTCCAAAATCACCAAGTCAGCTTCCACTGCAAGATGGGGATCTGAACCTGGGTCTCGCAGACCCTAATCTGAAGCTCTAACTGATGCACCGCACTGGCTTTCATAGGGTGGCTGGTGATGAACAGTAGCAAGCAGCTGGGCCTAATTGAGTCATGCAAATCAGGTGGTATCAAGTCACCCAGAGGGTGCTGCTTAGGGATGCCAGCCTCCAGGTAGGACCTGGGGATGCCTGGAATTACTGCTCATCTCCAGACTACAGAGATAACGTCCCATTGAGAAAATGGGTGCTTTGGAGGGTGGACTCTGTGACATTGTACGCCACTGAGGTCCCTGTCCTCCCCAGGCTCCACCCGCAAATCTCCAGGAGTTTCCCAGCCTGGATCTGGCAACCTTATCCACAATCCCCTGCTGGTGGCCGAGGGGGAGCTGGCGATCCTAAACTCCTGCCAGGCCTAGGGTTGCCAACCTCTAAGTGGTGCCTGGAGGACACCCCCCTCCCCCAGAATTACGACTGAACTCAAGACAGCAGAGATCTGTCTTCCAGGAGAAAATGGCTGCTTTGGAGGGTGGACTCTGTGGCATTATACCCAGCTGAGGCCTCTCCCTTCCCCAAACCCAGCCATCCTTACAGTCCACCTCAAAACCTCTAGGGATTCCCCAGGCTGGCACTGGCAGCCCTTGTCAGGCCAGGCCCCAAGGCTCCCTCCCTCCCTCAGAGGCCAAAAGAGGCCAGGAAAGGGCCCTTCCCCCACCCTTTTACTGACAGAGCCAGTTAAAAGCCTCCCCACTGCTCCGAACGTTCTAATCTCTCTCACACCGTTGATGCCTGGAGTTAGATCCCTGCAGAGGTCAGTTCAAAAGGTATTGGGGGAAATTCAACCCTCCCTGAAGGGATTTTTTTACTTCTTGGATTTTTCTGCAGACACAGGAAGTCTACTGACTATGTAGGAAAAGCTGTTGGGGGAGAGTGAGCCCTCTGTTGGCAGAAATAAGTATCTGTACAACCTGTACAACCCGCCCGCTGCTGTCCTGTCCTGAATGTTTCAATCACTATAAAAGAGTGCACGAAATATGTATTCATATTGTCTTCCAGATCTTACTCCTTTTTTTATATTTAAGTTTCTCACAGTGCAATCCTGTGCAGAATCGCTCCAGTCAAAGCCCATCGAAATCAGTGGATTTAGACTGGAGTAGCTCTGCATAGGATTGCATTGTTAAATTCTTATTCTAGGATAAAAAGTAAATCTATAGTTTAAGATAAGAGTTGAGACTCATGCTCCAGAAGCATGGAAATTGTAACAAGGTTTTTACTTTAACACATACTTTATAAGCAGTACAGATTTTATTTATTTATTTATTTATTTATTTATTTATTGTCTGCCTTTCTCACTGAGATTAAACAAAGATTACAGGATATAAACAGTGATATTTCACTTATGTCCTAGGTTGGTATCTTATGTACCAATGTTGTGCCTTGGCCTTATAGTAGCTAGTGGATTGGTTAGTTACTGATGTTTTAATTTGATTTTACCATATGTTGTTGTTGTTTGTTATATCCAAGTGTTGTGAGCTGCCCTGAGCCCTTCTCAGGATAGGGCGGGGTACAAACCCAATAAAATAAAATAAATGTTTGCTTTTACTGTAAGCCATACCAAAATTATATATACACATACAAGTGTAACCATAACTAAATACAATTATTAGCTAGTAGGTTAGAGCAGGGAGGGTTGATAGCTTTGAATGTATAGCCCTTTGAGGGAGCCGTGCGTGCTACTGGGGTAGAGATCTGAGGCTAAGACAAACTGCTATGTGCACGATTTCAATAGGGAACCTTCTTTGAAAGCACACACCACACACAATCTGGAATCTTGTATTCTAACCTAGTCCTGGCTCTGTTGTTTACTAAATCTCTCCTTTTACTGCTTTTACTGCACTAGCACAGAGAGTGTTTATGGTTTTCCCAGCATCTCAGGGTATTCGCTAATAAATGAGTCATGGAACTACTTAAGTAATATGAATGAAAAGTCACCACATAAACTCATCTTTTCAGACCTTATCTAGTTACACTGGAACTTCCTACATTGGTAGACCAGGCATCTAATACAGTACTAACAACTATGAGGCTGCAAGGAGTTGAGTGCTGGGGCTGCAACATGCCCTACCCACTCCCAGGAAGGGGCAGTCTTAGTGATTTTGGGGCCCTAAGCAAACTTGAAGGTGGGCCCCCAGAATCACTAAGACCACACATCTCTCATGCACACAGTTGTGCCAATCACAAAAACACTTCCTGTCTGTCTTGAAGCAGTTATTAAAGTGGAACAAAACTCATAACATAACAACATAAGAGACGCCAATGTTGGATCAGGTCAAAGGCCCATCCAGTCCAACACTGTGTCACACAGTGGCCAGAAATACCAGGTGCCATCAGGAGGTCCACCAGTGGGGCCAGGACATTAGAAGCCCTCCCACTGTTGACCCCCTCCCCCAAGCACCAAGAAGACAGAGCATCACTTGCCCCAGAGTCCCTATCTATACCTTTTGGCTAATAGCCACTGATGGACCTCTGCTCCATATGCTTATCTAATTCCCTTTTGAAGCTGTCCATGCTTGTAGCTGCCACCACTACCTGTGGCACATAACAAAATTGCACATAACCATGATATGCAGCACTAGATGAAAAAGATTAAAAAAAATAAGGCAGCTGAGGTGAAGCATGGGAGGGGAACAGCTTTGAAATCAAAATAGCTATGTCTCAAATATGAGGGACTGCAATTCCCTAAATCTGAAACACCTGGAGATTCAGACTTTCCACTACTGCCTCTATAGAAAAACAGTATAGAAACACCTCAGCTTTCCTAGGAACTATTGGATGGTAGCTCTTTGACATGTATTTACTACAATACTACTGCCACAGTCTAACAGGCTGGAGCCTTTCTTGACATTTCAGGGTGTTGCTTGTTGCTTCCTATATACTAAGTTCCTTAGGATTGCAGTAGCCAAGATATACTATGCAACATACACAGGAAAAAGGGTGTTTAGACTTGAGATGGTAAATTTGTGTCTCGGTCTTCTGTACAAAATGCCCTGCAGACAGAAAATTCCTTGCTGTCTAGTTTTCTGTATGGATTTTTAAAATGGAGGAACACTCGGTTAAAAGAGCTCTCACTAGCAGTTTGAAATGTCATGGACCAGATACAGGTTTTACTACCTCAGTGAGAACTAGGCTTGTTGTTGTAACATTTAAAATATACACTGGGTTGTCAAAAACTAAACAAAGAGCAGAACTTGATGCCAACCTGAATTTTGATGCCTAAACTATGTGTGTCTTTTGTACAAACGTGTAGCCCTCCCCAGCCAATCCTCCATACCAAATTTTATATTGATACCACAGTTCAATTTCACAAAGAATAGAATGTTTGTAGTTTTGGCAGTGAATGCCTCATGCCTTAGTATAGAGCCGCTTTCACAGCTCTTTAATCTGAAGGTCTTTATTTAAAATTTTGGTATCTGATATATGAGTGCCTAGTTTCTACTGGATGTTTGTCAAAACGGATAAGCAATTATGACTAAGAATCATGTGTATTATAAAAGGGGCATTGTCTTGGAGCCTAAACAGCACAAGCATAGTCATGCTGGTGGTGGTGGAAACTGCTGTCAAGTCACAGCTGGCTTATGGCAACCCCATAGGGTTTTCAAGGCAAGAGACATTCAGAGGTGGTTTGCCATTGCCTGCCTCTGTGTCATAACCCTGGTATTCCTTGGTGATCTCCCATCCAAATATTCCTTGGTAATCTCCCATCCAGGCTGACTCTGCTCAGCTTTTGAGATTTGACAAGATTGGGTAGCGTGGGCTATCCAGGTCAGGAGGAAGGAAGATTCCCTGCCCCACACCACTGCATCCTTTTTGCCCACTGAAATCACGTTCCTTTGGACCAGTGGACCCAAACAAACAGAATGGGAGGCAAGCTGGGAGTCTGCAGCAGGAGTGGGGGAGGGGATAGGCAAAGATCACCCTTTCTCTACAAACAGAAAAGCAGTCGCATCAGGGGAGCTGATGTTTTTCAGGAACTGGCAATTGTGCTGTACTCCATCTGAAAGTTCAAGGAAGAAAGCTGACTGGCTACTTTCCATTTGGTTTGGTGTAATGGTTAGGAGCGCGGACTCTGATCTGGGAATACCGGGTTTGAGTCCCCACTCCTCCACATGCAGCTGCTGGTGTGACCTTGAGTCAGTTACAAGTTCTTTCAGAGCTGTTCTCTCAGGAGCAGTCCTCAAAAGAGCTCTCTCAGCCCCACCTACCTCACAGGGTGCCTGTTGTGGGGAGGGGAAGGGAAAGGAGATTGTAAGCCACTCTGAGACTCCTTCAGGTAAGTGAAGGGCGGGGTATAAATCCAATCTCTTCTTCTCTTCTTCTTCCATTTGTCTTAGGTGTCCTTACAAAACACATTCCTTCTCACACATTCTTTCTCTGTTCTTGTAAATGTTACAAATAAGCTCTTTGATTTTTTTAAAAAATGTTGGACCTGGAAAGAACTCTTCATACTAAAATTTGCTTTTGTAAAGATATACCTGTATTGAGAAAAACTGGACCATTATGTATTTTAAATTTTGAAGAGAAGAACCTTGAATCAGTCAAACATTTCATGGCAACTGTTACTGAGTTACAAGTCAGCTGTTTCAGTACAGCTGTTTTTGACACAGACATACAATTTGCCTGTAGAAATTCTGAATGGAAACAATTGTAAAATCTTCAGTTATTTTGCTGTATCACTAACTTTTACCCCTTCTTTTTTACCTGCAGGAAGGAAAAGGGAATGGTTTAAGATAGATGATGCCATAAAAGTTCTGCAGTATCACAAACCTGTGCAGGCCTCATACTTTGAAACCTTGAGGCAAGGCTGTTTGGCAAATAACGGCACTCCTGTTGTGACCGCATCATTCTCAAAAGAGAGCACTATGTCTGATATCAGATGACTGAGGATGTCTGTATAAGAAAAACAGATTTTGAAAAGTAGACTGGAACTTGGATTTCCCTTACTCCTTCCCTCTTCTCACCTCTTTCACATGCTTCCTCTGTCAAACAAGACATGTGCAGCAGCCTTTGGCAGAGCAAATGTTTGAGTATTGCATTCTAGTGGAAAGTGGGGTTTTCTTGCTTTTTCTTGGATATGTATTTTGTAAAACACATCTTGTGCATGAAGTGCCCCTTCCCTATTAACAAAAATTTAACAGCCTGGGCAAGGCTGTTAGCTTTCCCTCCGCCTTGTCTTCTGATATGTTCTCTGTGTGTTTTCCCAGCCATGACCAGACCTTTTATCTTTTCAGTTAAAAGAAGGCTGCAAATGTGAGATTGGTTCTTTAAGTCTTAGACTTTGTACAGTAAGGTGCTGTTGAGATCCGTTTGGTCACTTTCTCAGTGCATGTGTGTAAACTTTTTTTAGATGGAGAAACCTAACACTTTGATTTTTGCAGAATTTTTTTTTTTTAAACATGGGCTTCTTCTAAAAAGAAGGGCTTCATAATCTTGTTTGCCTTGTTTTTTGGAAAGAAACTTTTTTTGTGATAGTGCTAGTGACTGGGCCAGTTTGACTCCCTGCCACCTACTCCCTGAATCAAATTTATTACTTTGACCTTTAGAGGAGAAGGCCAAGTTATAATCACTTGCAAGACATCCCTGGTGCTCTGTTCTTTCTACAGTTTCAACCAATATGTCATCTTTAACATCGGACACAAGGAATTGGTCACTATCAAAAGCGTATGGCCTCAGAAACTAAATGAATTCCAGCCTCAGTAAATAGGAATCAGGGATGCAAAATGAGTTTAAAAACTAGTGAACTGGAGCATCAAGCATCAATGCTTTCTGCTGGTCTGGAGTTCTTTCCCTTCCTGCTGCATACTGCTGATGTCTCTTCCTGTCCACATGCCTTACACTGTACTGAACTGGATATTGTAATTTGTGCTAAAGCATTGGATTGTACTTTCTGAGTGTCATTGCATGGACCTTGATGAGATGGTCACAGGGTGTCCCTGAAAAGAAGTCTCAAGGGAAAACTTCAGGTGTTCAGTCTCCTTTATCTTATAGCATTGAAGCACTTGTTATTGCACCATGGAGCATGCTCAGAATGGTGAAGTTTTACCCCACAGTGGCAAAGGTACAAATGGCTCCCAAGCAGAAATGCTGGTGTGGGAGAACTGTCATTTAATAGGATAGTTAACCCGATGCATTGGCACATGTCACATTTTTGTTTCTATTGATGTATGTTTCATGCTGTCTTGATTTGCCAACAGTGTTGTCTAGTTGGGAGACTTTGGAAAAGGTTGGGGGAGGGAGTTGGGTGGGCGGGCTGGGGAAGGTTAGGGTGGGGCATTAGTTAATCCCTGGCTTGGGACAGGACCTAGTTGCTATATTTGGTGACTTCTTCTTTGTCAGTATAGCCAAGATGTGAAATTAAATCTGCAGTACTCTTATTTAATTAATCATTTGCTTCCCATTAAATATTTAACAGCGTGCATGCATGCACACAAATCTGAAATGGTCATGCAGCCCTAAAGTAATATAAATTAGTATACTTTCTACTTTGGGAAGGAGCTTGAAATTTCAGATCAAATTTTATTCTTTTTATTTGAATTCTGTGCTTTCAGAGAATGGGATAGCATTCCAAAGTTTGGGATCACAAAGACAAAAGTGATTATTATCGCCAAAAACTCTACGCAGGAAAAGACTGAAAGGTATTATTCAAGAAGTGGCTTAAACCTGAACATCCACAATGGAACCCTAAATTATGCTATGCCACTTCAGTGCCCTTCACCTTAAAAATCAATAAACAGTTAACTCAAAGGGCTTGACTGGTGTCTTCAAGTGTACGGTATGATTTCTCTTAACCTGTATGTGGTACTTTCCAATATAGCAAACTGTTGCCTTCATTTACGAGGGTTTGATGTCTCACTGAATAGATTAGGACATGAAAGATTGTTTGAAAGACTCCAGAAAGGGTGACTGCAGTTTTAATATCTACAGCATGAACAGATTTTTAAAAACTCTAATAAATGTTTTTATAGGGCTGTTAAACTGACAATTTAGGATAGAATATTGTTAATGACTTGCTAACATCTTTTTGTTGGGTCAGGAAAAATAAATTGTGCCAAGAAAGTAGTGTAATGTGGGATGAACTGATGCTGTTTATCTAACTGCTTGCTTCTTAACTGGAAAGAGAAGATATAGCTCCTCCGCTGAAAACAATCTGGAATCTTCAGCAACCGTATATTCTAACCCAGTCCTTGTTCCCGTTATTTACTAAATCTCACCTTTTCACTTGCTTTTACTGCACTGTAGAGAGAGTCCACAGTTTCCCCAGTATCTCAGGGTATTCTCTAATAAATGAGTCATGGAACTGCTTAAGAAATATGAATGAAAAGTCACCACATCAACTACTTTTCAAAATATATGTAGCTATACTGGAACTTCCTACAGATAGAGCATGCATCTAATACTGTACAAGCAACTGGTATGTTGAATTGAATACTATCCAGCATTAAGTATCTAAAGTGACCCTCAGTTTGAAATTTTAAGGTATTTTATATTTTTAGTTAATTTAAAGTTCATGTGCTTGAATGAGTCTTTCTCAACAATAAGCCTTAGATTCTGAAGACTACATATGACCCTAGGCCTCTCTGGTGCATCCCATGGACTCTGAGAACCCTAAATTTCATTTTTATAGGTACATGTTTAATCCACTGCAGTAGCTGAGAGGAGGTTGAATAATAAAATTGCTGACCTTATGCACTTCCTGTTATAGACAGATGCTAGAACAGCATGAGCAGTGTTACAAATTTGTTGGTATATATTTACAAATGATTTCTTACAAGAACAGATTTGGTGCCAATGCTTACTACATTACTGACCTCATTTAGAAAAGGTCTAAGTGGGTATTTGCATTGTGCGTACCATGTCTACTTAAATTAGGGTTGACAGAGCTGCTTAAAACTATTTTTGGCAGTGAGTCTTCACATAGCTGCTGGATAACCTAAGTGAATCTGAAACATTAGTAGTGCTGTGAGTGCACAACCTGTGCTACATTTGTTCAACATGGAGAGGAAGGATGAAGCTCACTTCAAGCTTTCAGCAGTAATATCTGTCACCTTGTCTACAATGCAATAGTGATTTTTGATGATATCACTTCTGTGTTTGTGTCATAGATTAGAACGCCTGTGGTATAAAATTAATTGCATATGCTGGAGTCTTTTGATGTAGCTGTTAATCTTTTTGGACTTAGCCTTGATTTAGCTCTTGTTAGAGTTTCTAACAATGGGGAAAAAATCATCTTTGTATGAAGAGCTTAGCCTGAAATGTAGTCATGTTTTTAGATGTAGCATAGCTGCTTTCCCCCCAAAACATTGTATTTGTTGTTAGCCATACTTGTGTATCTGTTCCCTCTATCTACCTTTGCTCTTTCAAAAGGCCCTTCTTTGTTTCCTAGTTTTTAAAATCAGCCAATAAGAAAATGAAGTGCCACACTATCTTAGTAGTGGTTATATGAGAACATATAAGTGGGAAAGTGTAGAGAGGTCTGCTGTGATATTTTAATGGAAGTGAGAAAATTGCGTAGATTTAATTTCTGCTAGATAGATAACTGATTCTGAAATCAGATTTCTGAAAATTAAGTATGCTTACAGTATGGGAATTGGAATATGTTCTAGTGAAAATTTCAGGAACAATTGTGTAGTGGTGTCTCTGCAACTGATTTTTCTAATGTTAAAAGTGTGACTTTTCCCGAAAGGGGCTATCTGTTTTAATCAATGATTGTGCATATTTTTAATGCTTTGCCAAGTTTTGTTCACCTGTTAACAATACTTGTACCCAGGCACTGGGTGCTATGCTTGGGAGAAAATATGAGAGAGAGAGAGAGAGAGAGAGAGAGAGAGAGAGAGAGAGAGAGAGAGGCGTTATGTGTCTACTTTACACTGGAAGGGTATGTATGTATGTTCTAATTCCTGTAATAAAGAAGCTGCTTTGAGTACAGTTTGCTACATCTTATAACAACAATTTTATCAGAGCTGTTAGTTTTTTCAGTATGCTTATTTGATATGAATGCTGAAATATTCCTGTACTGTATGGTTTCTCCCCCATCAGAACTAGTCATCAGAGAAATTACAAAAAAGAAGATAGTTTCAGAGGGGTAGCCATCTTGGTCTGCAGTGGTATCTGACAAAGGGAGCTTTGACTCTTAAAAGCTCAGATGCCAAAAATCCTGTTGGTCTCTAAGGCACTACTGGCCTTGCATCCAGCTGGACAAAAAAGCAGCAAGCTTCACGTTCTTGAAATCTTCACTCCACTCTGCTAGCATAGAAACGTGAATAAACTGCAAGTGTAGCTAGTCTTGTGAATGTAAAACCCTTGAAACTCCAGTTCTGGATTATCACTCCCTGAACAGTATGAACTATACAATGTTAGTAAGTTGATGCTTTTTGATTTTCTTAGCCAAGTTGACTTAATGAAATTGGCATGCATTTTTACTTTGGCATGTTTATGGTGAGTTTGCCTTTCTGAAGCACTGAAACATTCTACGTATGTGAAGATTATAAAGCCAAATCTAAGGCGAATCTGACTACCAGATATCATATGAAGATAAATATAGGTGTAATTTATTAGAATATATATAGACCCTTCATGACATTTTATATTTCCTGTTTGGAGAAGGTTTTTTCCTTCAGTTGTTTTTATAAAAGTTTCATACAAACTAAATTTAACAATATAGGAAACAATTATGAAAAATACATGTCACATGCCATTTACGAGTCCATAAAGAGGTCATATAATTTGCAAAGTGACAGCATGGAATGGGAATTATTGGGCTATTCTGGTCAGTAATCCACTAAACTGGGCTAAAGAAGCTGTAAAGAAAAAAAGACCAATGTCAGCTCTTGACAAAATCATTTAAATATAAATTCATGGTGTATGTGGGAAATAAATGTCATAGAAGCTGTTCTTCAAGTGTTCTGTTAACTTGTGCCACTGGGAATTTGCACTTGTAGTATTTATTTACCAAGCAGATGTAACAACATTCTTGCTGATGTTGTAACTGTACAAAATGGCCAAGAGACATGATATCACCTGTTCAGTTATCTCAATTCATGTTTTGGTTTAGGTTCTAAAAACATCAAAACATGGGAAAAGTCACAAAACATGTGACTCTGGTCTTTTGGTTTAGAATATGTGAATTATTTTGACCACTGTTTTTGTTTTATAAGAATTTTTTTTCAAATGTTCCTTTATCTGCTTTATGCCTGGAAAACTTTTGCAGTGGGGGGAAAAATTAACAGGCACACTATGTGATAAACAAGACACCACATGCTGTTGAAGATAGTATTTATAATTTGAGTTCTCACAGGAAAGCTCTTGTCAGTAATAGTGAGTTTAATTAAGGTCAACAAACTGTCCTTCCTCTTAGTGAATGCTGGCTGCCAAAGAAACTGCTATATGAAAATCTACAGTACTCAGTCTAGCCTCTTGAACTCCAGAATGTGTATTTGTACTGCTGGGTCAAGGGCTGCCTTTAAATTTGTAATATTGCACAGAGCCTTTTAAAACTGCGTGTATATTTAAAGGTCAGTGTTTTTGTTAATGAACCAGCTGGCTACCATCCTATTTCCTAATTCAACTCAAACTGCACCATTTCCTTTTAGAGGCTACAAGCTATTCCTCAACCAAACATCTTAAAAAATGCAGTTTGCCTGCTTACTTGCCTATAACTCTGTTTTCTGAAGAGTCTATGCTACTTCTTGTCATCCACATACTTTATTTACTTGAAAGGAAGATGACCCTCTTCCCCAAGTTATACGCACACACAATTATTACTGGACATAACTGTATCTTGTATGTGAATGTAAAACAACCCCCTCTTTAGGCATACCTAGGGGGGAAAAACACCCTAGTTTTGCACACCCTTTGCTTCCTGTGGCCCATGTTGGAACTGTACATATCAGTACAGTGGGAATGGAGTATCAGTGCAGACTGAAAGCTGCTTTAACTAGTGATTAATCAATCCAGGAACACGTTGACAGTTTCAAGTAAGCAGTGTGTATTTTCTTGGTTCATGGCTTTTGCTACCAAAATCCATATTCAAAAATCTGTTGTGTATGTTTTTGTGACTATGAGAATCCTCTCACATTTTTGTTTTACTTTCTAGGAAATTTTGGCATTTAGTCTTTCATATATACTTCTGTAATGT